GCCATGGTGGAGAACCTCCAGGGAGACTCAGGCCGCGGGTACTACCTGGAGATGCTGATCGGGACCCCGCCGCAGGCGGTAGGAGCGGGCAGGGGAATGCGGGCTGGGAGGGATGGGGAGGAGGGGACCGAACTTCTCCGGGGTGGCAGCGATTCGTCCCTCGCCCCTCCGGCTGCAACGCAACTTTGTCCCGGTGCTCGGCGCTGGCGCCTCCTCCCTTCCCATTTCTCCCGTCCCTTCCCGGGAGACACGGCCGGTGCCCGGCGCGACTTTCCGCGGACACGCGGGGAGGGGAGAAAGGAGAGAAGCATCCCCTGTCCTGCCCCTGCCCGGGAAATCTGCGGATCTGGTCCCCAGGATTCCTTGTAGGCTCTGTCACGGCGAAGCGAGTTGTTCTGCCAGCCGAACTGACCGTGTTTTAGAGACAGAGGATGCTTTTTTGGTTATTCTTTGCTTTTTTAAGCTGCTCTGCGTCGTGATTGGGCGCTCTGGTGGATCTTCCCGGTGCTCCCGGGAGAATCGCTCGGCATCTTCCTGCTAAACTAAAGTGATGGCTGGGCACAACCAGCCCCTTCTGTCGGGAACCCATGTGCTGCTCATTAACGGGGCAAAGATCCTGTGTGTTCTGAATAGTGCTTTCAGACAAACCGTGTTGCCTTGAATCTTCCCTCTCTGCCTCCAGCAGTGTGGCTGAAGTTTGGTTCGGGTTATTTTTTTGGTTTTTTGGATTTTTTTTTTGCCGTTGCTCTTTCATGTGTGTCATGAGATCCCAGGAGGAGCGGAGCTGGGCTGCGGGTGGGATGACTGGTCAGCTGAGTGGGGATTAATTTCCTGAGAGCCCTCGGGGCTTTGCTTCAGAACTTTGTGTTTGCTTCAGGAGTTCAGGTCCTGAGGTTCCCAGTGTAGACAGAAAGAAAAAAAAAATCTTTATTCTTCTGCTTAACTCCCCTACGTAATAAAAAGCCTATGAATGCCAAAATGCGCAGCCAATGGGGAGTGTTCAGCCGTCATTGCATTTTTGGATGTCTGTGAGCTCTTTCTTTTTTTGCCCCTTGAGTGTAAGAGGATTGGCCACATCGTCTCTCTAATCAAAAAGTATCTCACTGGGATCAATACATGCATTGAGACAGGCTGGCATTGTTTTATGATCAATAAATAGAGATTAAAAAGTTTAAAAAAAACATAACTAGGTCTGACATATCAAGGTGTGGCCCAGTAGCCATGGAGGCCATGAAATAATTTTTCCTCCTTGTTGAGTGATGCATATTTGACTAGTTCGGTTGGTGTGGTGTGGTGTGTGCTTCATAACTCCAGGGAACATTCAAACATTCAATATTGGCTTCTGCCAGAATTGAGGCACCAGATTTGATTGGACTGATCACCCAATTCAGCATGTCCTAGATGAAAAAAATAACTTCAGGTAGGAAAAGTGACTATCAAGCATATTATCTCCTTACATGTCTAGGGGGATTCTGAAATGGGAAGAAATGGAGAGGGGAAAAATGTGACAGGCCTTTCATAATATGACTGGAGGTCTAAGAGGGAGAAATGTGCTGCCCTCAGTACACCCACAGGGTTCACTTATGCTCAACAGCTCGTATCACTTGTATTACAGGTGATGGAAGGTTTCAGCTAGACTTGCCTCTGATTTTTATCTTTTCCACATAAAAAAACCATGCTTTGAATCTGATTGCAAAGCTTTTACTATTTTGAACTAGTTCTGACTTCTGGCAAAGTTAATTATTTTAAAGACTATCACTGGTTTGGCACATGTGAGGTTTTATTCACAAGTAGACCCACTGAGGTTGTAAGTAAGATTATAAATGCTTCTATTTCCCAAACCAGATCTTGGTGTGTAATGACTCAGTGGAGTGCAGTTAGAATTTATTCTGTACTTTTGATGAGGATGAATTGGTTATCATGTTCCCTGCCTGAAACCAGAAGACTTAAAGATCACAAATATGCTTTCTGCTTTTTCTGCGTTGCAACGAGTAGTATAAAGCCACAGAGCTGCTACTGTTGGTGCTTGAATGCTTCACATGCTACTAAAAGCAAGTGTCTGGATAGTGCCAAGCGTTGGATTGTGTTAAGCTCCTTGGGCAAGCGGTTGCTGGAGTTGGGAGTGGGCTGTGCATGATGGTGTAGAAAAGGAAAATCTTTTCCTGATTTAAATGCTCCTCCCAGCCTGACTTTGCTCCACGTCTGCAGCCGCGCTGCGAAGCGATGCTCGGACACCTTGTTTTGCTCTTGCACCCCTCCAACTTGGGGCTTCCCAACTTTGTGCCTGAGCCAGGCCTGTCCCAGCGCTGCCAGCCCAGGGAGCTGCCCTGGGAGCTGCCCTGACATTTTGCCAAGCAGGAAGGAGGATGCTGGCAGCCAGGAGCGCCGGAGCGGTTGCGGAGCAGAAAGGTGCACGGCACAGCTGCTGCTCTGCACAGGAGCAGAGAGATGGGGAAATGCTCCCAGGGCAGTGGTGCACCACGACCAAGCAGCAGGCTGTGAGAAGAGAAAGCAGATTTGATGTGGAGGTTACAGCAGTGTTGGTGCCCAGTGGCTTCGGGAGCGTGTGCGTCAAGTGTTGGAAGCTGCTGTGCCAGAACGGGGAATGAACATTTGTGAAAGGCTTCAGCACTACAGGGCTTGCTTTACTGCTCAGCTGCATTTTTAGAAATTTTCCTTTTTTAATTCCTGTTCTTGGAAGGAAGCTACTATGACAGAATTTCGTTTTTCAGGTCATTTAAGGCATACTTTTTGGCTTTCGTTCCAATTCTGATTTGTCATATAGCAGATAAACAGAGCACAGAGCTGCGATTCACAATGGCAGTTCTGAAACACTTGTTCTGATGGTACAAAAATAGAGCAGCTGTGTGAAGTCAAAATTTATTTTATTTCCAAGACAGGAAACTTCAATGCAGTCAATCCAGTTTTGCAAAGTGTTTGCAGCCAAAGTGTATCTGATCATTTCCAGTTTTATGATACAATATCCTTCCTAATCCTATCAGATCTCCAGACCAGTTACCAGTTTGGTGTCAAGTGTAATTGCTCCCACTAATTCTTATTCATTCACATGAATGTAGACCTACTTAAGAATTATGTGAAAGGTGAGAACAGTCTGTTGTATTGAAGGGTGTGATGTATTTGTCCCTTATTTCATGGATGTATTATTATGTGTCCTACTCCTGATGGATTATGGGCTTTATACCTGTCTGCATAGGTGCACTTCTTCCAGTTCCAGATTTAAGTAAGGGGTGGCAAGAGCCCAATATGAATTGTGTGCAGTGTTCTCAGCTATTCCTTTAAATAATCCAATGGAATTCCTTTGCTCTATCTTTTATTATTTTGCCTACCCTGAGATTATAAGAACTGTGAGAAACTGAATCCAAGATCATTTAGGTTTTTTTGCTATCTTCACTGCAGTTCTCTTCATATTAATTTTGTTTCTCCTACAAGCTTTTGACCAAAAGAATAGTCAAACTCTTTAAAAAACCTCATGTTTTTCACAGCTTTCTTGAAGTCCATCTGGACTGCATTAAATGTTTGCAGGGACACTACCATTGCCTCATCTTGCCTCTTGTACAAGGTGGTGGCAGTCCTGCTGATCCCACTGCATTTCCAAGCTGTGTTTTTATTAAGAACAGGTAATTTTTAATCCTGCTACTCCTCTGTGAAAGAGATACCAGGCATATGGCCCCTGAGAGATCTGGTCTGATAAACCACAGAAGGATCCGACTTGTGCTCTGAATGCCACAGCTCCTTTCTTTCAGTGTCAGTTCTTCATTCTGTTCATGAAGAGCCTTTTAAATCTGCTGTTTATCCTAATGGCAGTCTGTTCTGTGCACAGGGTGAGCAAAAACCCCTTCTATAAACCTGCTCCCAAGTTTTAAGGTCAGCGTGGATGTTGGGTCTAACGGCCCCCGCTGCAAAACACAAACTTCAGTTCCCGCATAATTGGTGGGAGGTTATCTTCCCTTCCATTTCTTCCAGCTATTAAAGAGAGGAATGATAAAGAAGGATATGTATTAAATGACTCTAGTATGTCATGGAGTCAGAATTTATGGCTTCGTGTTTTGAGGGTGATGTACACGCACATTAACAAGTTCTGAACTTGCAGCCATTATTCCTTAATTGGTGGTAGCTCTCATTTTCTGAGTGTTGAAAGGAATGAAGATGTGAGGAAAGATTCAGCTGCTCTTGTAATCTGATTTCTGGTGCTGTGCTATTGCCCAACATGCTCAGCTCCACTTTCTTAATTTTGCTGAAAAGGGGCTCACTGTCTTTCTAGACACAAGGAGTTTTAAAATGTGATCTTTCTTTGTTCAAGTATCAGAAGGCAGGCTGCATCTCAAGTCTCTCTTTCTGTCTTTTTTTTTTCTTCTTTTTTTTAGTAATTACTAAGGACTTTTGTATTTATTTTTGAGTTCTTTATGAAAGCTGAAGAAACAAAAGCCTGAGAAGCAAAGACAATTTCTGTGGTGCGTTGGAGTGTTTTGAGGTGGCAGTGTCAAAATCCCTCCAGATCTGTCTAGTGGAAATAGTATTGAAATGCAAAAATATTCCTGTTTTTAAATGGTGATTTGAGTCTATTTTGGTGGTTGTTGTTATTGGATACCTGCAAAATAAAAAGGACAAGCACCTGGCAGTTGTAATTCAGGACAGCTGTGAACAGCTGTGGCCTGGTGGGCTGTGATGTGTTTTTGACCCAAGACAAGCAAGTAAACATACCAGGTTTGGGTTGACCAAAAAGCCCCTGCCTTTACAAATTAGCATTTTAGCACCTTCTTCCATCCAAAATTAGCCCTGGCAAAAGAGGCTGTGTGGGAGTAGTAGAGGCTGTACTATAAAATAACCCAAAATGTGAGTGCTGCTTACACTCAATGGAAGAGGCTCACCATGGTCATCCCTCAGGATGCTCTTCTCTCCCAGAGTTAGGGATTAGAGCTCCACTAACTGTTCCTTTTAAAGGAGCTTTCTCCTCTTCAGAGAGGTGATGGAAGCTTTATTATCCAGGGGCTTTGCTTGAGGCAATCCTGAATTCAGATCCTGGTGGGTCAGGGCAGGAGAGCTGTTGTGAGGAGCAG